GGTGTGCTGGAGAGCCAAGCCACAAACATTTACAATCCGAGCCCGACGTTTCGCCGGTTATTACAACCAGCTTCATCAGGCGACAGCCAGATTTGTGGAGAAAGTCCACCCGTTTCGTTCCTTAAATAGAGGCGTAGATGTGGTGACAACTCGTGCGCGCTCTTCTTGCGCGAATTGGGGGGGGGGGGGGGGGGTAACGAATCAACGTACATGATGTATGCGCATCATGTGAGCCCATTCATCTTGCACTAATGATGGTGATTACGTGCATTGAGTATTTGTATGATCTCATGTTGTCTTTGTGAAACTGCTTGAGACGCTCCTCGACAGGCCGTGACCAGCAGTGGTTAATTGCCAGCGGCAAGCGACGAGGTTTCAAGAGAGGAGGGGAGACTTGTTGCCTGCCGAGTGCAGAGAGACGACGGCCAGGGCACGTCCGTGTCGCGTCGGTGTCTTCGTTCGTGCGCGCGGACGACGCCAATCTCGAGTCGCCGTGAACTCGAGGCCGCCACGTGCACAGCGGGCAACGCTCACAGCGGGCACGCTCACAGCAGTTAGCGCGGTCGGCTACGTACGGTGCGAAAGAAGTGCAACGCACGTACACGCATAGGGAGGCTGCTATCATTGAAGTTAATTACCGGTGATGTGGGGGTATAAGCAACTTGTTGCGGTTGTTGTTGTTATTGCTGCTAAACTTCGCCGTCCATGTAATCGCCCGTGCTGTATATAAACTCCTCAAGGACTCGGGGTGAGTGTCCCTTGCTGTCGATCTCGCAGTCTTGCGTGGGACACAGGACTCGCCATGCCTTCGGACATCTGGCAAGTTCACAGGCATTGATCTGCCGCTGATGAGACACCGCATGTCGAAACCGGTCCCCAAGTTGTTTTTTTGTTCGTAACCGAATCGACGCTGCTGATATGAATCGCTCACGGATAGCCCACGGGTTCCGTTGGGTTGTGTCAGCAATACTTTCCTTTTGTATGTAGAGAGACAGATACAATGTGATTGAGACGTTGTCTGTCTGCCTGTCTGTCTAGCACCTTGTGCGTGTGTGAACGTGTCTATGGTGGGGAGCGGTAGTGTGGCGGTTAGCGCTACGCTGCGCTATCAACCCGGCCACCCGGGTTCGATTCCGGCTCACGGCACAACACCCAGTGACGAATTTCTGAACCGGTCCTGGGCCTCTCCTAGGTCGACTCAGCCTCAAATTAGTACCTGGTGCGGTGTGTAAACATCGCCACTGGGGACACAAAGGCGGTCGGGCGTGGTGCTGGCGACCCACCCCCTCGTGTGCCGTGCCGGCCTTCATAGGTGCTCGCTAACAGCACTTGCCCCTATAGTCTGTTAAGGTTATACGGGGGATCTTTGTCTTTGTCTATGCATACAAGTGTGTGGGGGGTTAGGATAGTGCCTCTGACGGCCAGATATCGATGACGAATATTTGAACCGGTTCTAGGCCTACCCCGTAGGTCGACTCAGCCTTAAATGAGGACCTGTTGCGGTGTGTTAAACATCACCACTGGGGAGACAAAGGTGGCCGCGCGTGGTGCCCGCCACCCCATCCCATTTGTGTGCACTTGCCCCGACAGTCTGTTGAGGCTATACGGGGATATTTGTTTTTGTGTGTGTTTGTAAATGTGCGTACGAACACCCGCGCATAAGCGTGCGTTTTTTGAATTGCGCGTGCGTCTATTTGCTTATGCGTATGTATATGTACGTATTTATACGTCTGCGTCTGTGTATTATGTACTTGTACATACTTAAATGAGTATATGCTGCGGTGTAAAATAAACAATTCACCGCTGGGGAGACAAAGGCGGTCGGGTGCGGGTCTAGCCACACCACCCAGTCGCTTGCCGTGCCCGCCTTAATTGGTTTTAACAAACAGCACTTTCCCCAACAGTCTGTTAAAGGTTATACGGGGGGTATTTGTGTATGTATGTATATGTGTGTATATGTGTATATATGTTTATGTATTTGTGTGTATGCGCGTGTGTGCGCGCGCGCGCCGGGGGAGCGGTGGCGCTGCGGTTAGCGCACTGTGCTACGAACCCCGCCACCCGAGATCGATTCCCGCTCGCGCCTTTCCCTCGGTCTACTCGATCTCAAATGAGTACCTGGTGCGACGTGTACTACATCGGCACTAGGGAGACAAAGGCGGCCGAGCGTGGTACAAGCCACGACACCCCTTCGTGTGCCGTGTCGGACTTCATGTGTTACACGCTATCCGCACTTGCCCAAACAGTACGATGAAGGCTATACGGGGGACCTTTGTATTTATTTGCGTGCGCGAGTGTTTTCAAATCGACTGAACTCGTTAAACTTTATCCGGAGTCGAACTGGGTTCGACCACTACCACGTGGAAGCCCCTTGAACACGGGTTCAGGGTCGGGGTTATAGGTTTAGGGGTTCTGTGTAATAGTCACAGAGGCTGTGGATTTAATGGGTACGGTTAGAGTGTTGGGTTTGGGTTCGGTGAGCGGTGATGGGTTTGCTGTAGGTTTCGTTTTACAGGACATGGGCCTGAGTCGGAATTATAGGTTCCGGGCTATATGTTCAGGTAATGTGTCAGGGTTAATGGCAGGTTAGGGTTACGCGTTATGGGTTATAGGTTTGAGTTGTTATGGGGCATCGGGTTCGGTTTAAGCTCCGACCTATGGGTTGGATTTAAAATTATCGTTCAGGTTTTCGGGTGTTACGGGTTCCGAGTCGCGAGTTATAGTTCACGGGGTTACGGGCCATAGGTGAGAGTTAGGGGATAGGATGAAGGGTTCGGGTTGATGATTTGGGGTTCAGGGTTTGGGGCTCGGGTTGGAGTGGGGATCACGGTTCAGTCCCCCTCATCTCTCCTCCCCCCGTCAACGTTGAGCTTCGCATGAACGGCGCGCGTTTAGTTGCGTGACTGCGCGCGATTCACACCGATGCGTGAAGGCGCTCGCTGACAGCACTTTCCCCAACAGTCTGTTGAGGCTATACGGGGGCTATCTTTGCCTTTGTCTACGTGTGTCTGCGTGCATGTGTTAAGGCGAGAGAGTGTGTATATATGTGTGTGTGTAGGGGAGCGGTGGTGTAGCGGTTAGCGCGCTGCACTATGAACCCGACGACCCGGGTTCGATTCCCGCTCACGGCCAACATCGGTGATAGCGATTATCCGAACCGGTCCTGTGCCTCCCCTAGGTCGACTCAGCCTCAAATGAGTACCTGGTGCGGTGTGTTAAACATCGCCACTGGGGGAGACAAAGGCGGCCGGGCGTGGTGTTGGCCACCCACCCCCTCGTATGCCGTGTCGGCCTTCATAAGTTCTCGCTAACAGCACTTGCCCCAACAGTCTGTTCAGGCTATGCGGGGGATCTTTGTCTTTGTTTTCTACGTGTGGGAAGCGGTAGTGTAGCGGTTAGCGCATAGCGCTACGAACCCGACGACCAGAGTTCGATTCCCGCTCACGGCCACCAACACCGGTGACGATTATCCGAACCGGTACTGTGCATCCCCTAGGTCGACTCAGCCTCAAATGAGTACCTGGTGCGGTGTGTAGTAAACATCGCCACTGGGGGAGACAAAGGCGGCCGGGCGTGATTCTGGCCACCCATCCCCTTCGTGTGCCGTGCCGGACTTCATAGGTGCCTCTCGCTCACGGCACTCGCCCCAACAGTCTGTGTCAAGCGCAGACGCCGTGGTGGCGGATCTCTGTCTTTGCACGCGAGTGAGCGGAGCGGTGGCGCAGTGATTAGCGCGCTGCCCTATGAACTCACGGGGAGACGAGTTGGCACCTGAACCGGGTCCTGGACGCTCGTCCCCTCTTAACCCTCGCGACCGACCCGCGGCTTGCGCGAGGGAGCGAGGCCTTCACTCGGCAGTGTCCATCCACTGCTGGATGCCCGATGCCGTGACCGCCGCTACGCGCTTCGGGTTTGTTTGCGAGAGAGTTCCCCACGCAGCTCCCTAACCCCCCTTCCGCTCTCTCCCCCTGCGATCTCCCCCCGCGGCACTCTCTCGTCAACTCTCAGTCCATCTCTCTCTCCCCCTGCGGCATCTCCTGCACCGTCTCTCTCTCTCGCAATCCCGCTGTCAATCCCACGGACGAACCGGCAACGAGCCAGCAAGCGACATCAGCAGCAGCAGCAGCAAATGCGCGTCTCTGTCGACATCTCCATTGGCGTTACCAATTCAATTACTATCAGCACCATTGCCACGGCGTTTGTTTTAAGGGGCATTTTGGCGTTCGACCATCTATTGAGTGATCGATTGATTAAATGATCGATTAATCGGATTGATAACGACCGGCGTTGCACGATTAATCGGTAGCCGCGCGCGCGCACGCTCATCGAACGCGGTGGTGGAACGAGAGCGAACGAACGAGACAGTGGTGTGACGGCATATTTGCATTCGCAAACTCAGCACCGCCGACACAAATATGCACGTAAAGACGTACACAAATTAAGAAAATGTACACAAGTGAAATGATAAGGTTAATTATACTAATAATAATGATGATGACATTATTAAGCACTACAACTTGCGCTCCCGGGGAATCGGGAATCGCTCCAAACTCTCAACTCTCTCTTTCTCTTCCTTCCCGAAGAAAAAAAAAATGAAAACGACAGCATCGGAGAGATCGCGACATTAAAACAACACTCGGGTTGGTGGGTGGGGTGGGGGGTGGTGGGGGTGTGAGGTCGGGGACCGACAAAAAAATCCCCCCAAAAATCTAAACATCTCCGCGCCAGAAATCGCGTTCCAAACAATCAAATCAACGACCACGCTGCTGCTGCTGCTACTGCTGCTGCTACTGCTGCTGCTACTGCTGCTGCTACTGCTGCTGCTACTGCTGCTGCTACTGCTGCTGCTGACTGCTGCGTTACGCGTCCCGCACGCGCATCGAGACTCGACGCGCGCCACCGTCACCGCCACCACCACCACCGTCACCACCACCACCACCACCGTCACCACCACCACCACCGTCACCACCCCTGTTACCAAAATAATCGTCGACTGTTACCTCGAGTGACGACGCCACGTGACGCGTCGCTGGCAAATCCGTCACGCGTCGCACGGATCTCTGATCGCGTTCTCTTCTCGCGTGCGTACAGAGAGAGAGAGGTTTTAAAAAAAAAATTACGTCGTGAAGGGAAAGAGGCGGGGGGGGGGGCTGCTTCGGTTGGGTGTCCTCTCCGCTCTCTCTGTCTCTCTCTCTCGCGTCTCTTGTCGCTTCTCGTGTCGCGAAGCGGCTGCTGCTGTTGCTGCTGATGATGATGATGATGCTGCAGGTGACGTTACGGATAGAGAGAGATGATGATTATGATGATGAAAGGTTGGGGGCGGGGGGGGGGGAAATGGGCGGGTGGGGAGCCGAGTGCGAGTGAGTGAGGGAGTGAGCCGAGCTCTCGCCTCGAGCACTGAACCTCGGAGCTCTTCGCGCTCGGCCATTCATAGACTCCCCCCCCTCTCTGCGCGCGCGCCTCCCAACAAAACTTTCTCCCGAACGCGGAGCCCACGCGCGGTGCCCCCCCATTGGTCGGCCCCGGCGCGCGCCTCCTCCTCCGACCGCGCCCCCCCCCCGCTCCCACCCACCACCTCAGCCCCCCCTCCCGCCCGCACTGAACCCCCCCACCACCACCACCACGATCTCCAGAGAAGAGGCGGAGAGAGGTCGCCCATTGGTGGAGAGGCGGCGGTGATGACGCCCGCGTGGAGTTGGTGGAGGAGGTTCGGGGGGGGGGTGGCCTGGGCGGCGGGGTGGCGGGGGTCTGCAAGGAGGGTGAGTGGGAGATGGGGGTGGTGCTGGTGGTGGCGTCGGTCGGGGTAGTTGCGGTGATGGTGGTGGTGATGTTGAATATTGTGGTGGTGGTTATGGTGGTGTCGGTGCGAGTTGTGGTAGTTGTTGGTGGCGGTGGTCGCGTCGGTGATGGTCGTGGCTGTGTGGTTGGGCACGGCAAAGTGGGCGAGCGAGAGGGACGTGTTCCTGTTGCTGCTGCTCTCCCAAAAGCTCCGAACACCGCTCGCCCAGCAGCGGGCGCATGAGTTCGACTCCGGGACTCGAGGCGCGTCACAGCTGCGAAACTTTGCATTCGTGAACGCGGCGCCCGCGTCTCGGACTGAGCGGCGAACACGCGCATCGAGACGAACGCGTTCACGTCGCGAGTCACGGGAGGATTTGAAAAGTATAACACCACCACACTAATCACCACCACAATAATCACCATCATCACCATAATCACCATTGCAGGCATCGCTCCTGGTGAGTACGGGTCCTAGACTCGGCTCGCTGCTGCTGCTGGAACTTGAGTGATGGTTCGCGTTTCATCCGCGTGACCCTCCTCTCTCCCTCATCGCATTCCGCTCGAGAGACAGAGAGAGAGCGAGGATGAGGAGATGCGAGCCACCGCGGAATTAGCGCGGTTCAAGTCCCCAAACCTGGCGGGAATGAGCGCAGGGGATGGGGAGGGTGCATGGAGGGTACTGACGGGGTTGGTGGGTCACGACGGGACGGGAGAGGCGGGAGGGAGGAGAGAGCGTGCAGAGAGGGATGAGGAGGGTGGTTGTGGATGTTTGGCGCTGGAGTGACGCCGCCGATTCCTTCCATTAGCGAAACAACAACAAAAAAACGCATTTTTATTGAAGGTGCAATCACGACGTCGGAGTAAATCGCCGGCCTCGGCAAACATTTTTAGCTCGCGCGGAACCCTTCCGCACAATTACGCAGCAGATCGCACGGACAGACGCCAACCACGCAAACACAACGGGGACGCGGCGCGTGCGGCTCGCAAAGTGCATTTGCTCCCCCCTCCCACCCCTCTTCGCTAAAGGCCACCACGTGCGGAGCTCAAAACTCTCCACCCCCATCTATCGCTCTCTGTTTGTCTCTCTGTCTGTCTCTGTGTCTCTCTCTCTCTGTCTCTCTCTGTCGAGGTGCCGTCCATCTCCGCCGCGCGCTCCACGGGACCTCTCCTCGGGTTTTAGTTGAAGGTTGAGAGCCCCCCCTCCGTATCCGTCTCCTGCTCGACTCCCGACGGCCGTCGGCTGCGTTGACCATTCGCGGTGTCGATCGACTCGCGGCTTCGGCAATGACCCCCCCGGCCCCCGCCCCCCGCAACAAAAGCATGGGGGTCCGCGGGAAGCACTGGGGTCGCGGGACCCCGTTCCGTTCCACGCATCCGCGCGCGCGTGTCCCCGTGGGCTCATCGTGGAAGGACGTCGCGTGGAGACGATGATGAGGTGGTGGTGGTGGTGGAGGTTGGTGGTTGGTGGTGTGTGTGGGTGGTGGAGGGGGAGGGGCATTCCAGGACCAACTGGTGCCATCTGGACATACGGAGCCGGCTTCGAGGAGTCGAGGGGTTCGCGTCGGTTTATGGCATCGTGGTCGCGCGCGAGGCGAACGCACGGAGGGAGAGGCAAATATATGCGTAACGCGCACCTCGCCTCGACGTTTAGACGACGATCGACGCGGCGCGGACGCGCTCTCTCCGCGCGCGCGCGCGCGATTGCCCCGGGGCCATAACACCTCGCAGATGTTCCCCGGGCTCTGTCAGCGGATAAATGCGCCGTAAACGTCTCAGGAAATATTTGAAGAGCAAACATTGACAGAACTTAACCTCCCCCCCTCGCTCGCTCTCTCTCTCTCTATCCTCCTGCCCTCTCCTCCTCCTCTACCGCCTCTCTCCCCCCGCCCTGCATCCCCCCCCCTCCTCCCCTCGGTCCCTCCTCTCCCCCCTGCCCCCCACTCTGCGCCCCCCCCCACTCCTCTGTCGGTCGGGACCGACGGTGGCGGCCGCTCCGCCCCTAGCGATGAACGAGGAGTGGGGTGGCCACGCGGGAGGGAGCCGGGGGTTTGTGTACACTCACTCTCGCGCGCGCACGCACACAAACCTGTCCCCTTTTAGGAGTTAAAATAATATATATACACGCACACACACACACACCATATGTTAGCAATTATACATTAACCACGTGATGTTGCTGAGAGCGAGAGCGAGACGCGGGGGTGGGAGCGAGAGCGAGAGGGGAGAGTGCGAGGGAGCGCGCCCGGGCACGGTGTCGTGACTCGAGACGCCGTCCCGCGTTGTTCGACCAACTCTCCACGTCCCCCTCTCTCTCTCTGTGTCTCTCTCCCTGTGTCTCTCTCCCTGTGTGTCTCTCTCTCTTACTCCGTGGAGCCGTCGCCTGCTAGGATTGATCCGCTCCGTTATATCCCCACCGCCGACGGAGGTGACTAGAATCCCAATCTCTGGTACTCCCCGGCGCTCAAGAGGCGCCTGACGCGGTTCGTGTCCCGGTCTCTGCCGCTCACCGCATCAGGCATCAGGTCCACAAGCAACGATGGACGAGACCCCCCCCCCCAACTTCCCCTCCTCCAGTGAGTCGAGGGTCTCCCGCGGGACAATTTCGACTGTCGGGGAACGTGGGTGGGGGGGGGCAACCGGGTCTCGGCTCTCGACTCTGCACGTGGAGGCGGTGCAAGGTTGCCGTGTGATGAGACGACTTCTCAGGGCGATTGTGGGTTGCTTTTCGAGCGGAGTGGGGGGGGGGTAACTGAGATGGGACGGTGGGGGGCTGCTGCTGCTGATTGTGATCCCGGGTCGACTGGACAGAGTGGGGGAACGCGCGTGTAGGACGAGAGGGGGGGGGGTGATTAAAAGTTATCCCCCGCAACTGTTTTAGCGGAGGGGGATTTTTTGGTTGCGTCAGATATGAGAGGAGGGCGGTGGGGTTGTGGCGAGGGGGGGCCTGGGTGTACAGAACCCACAATCAGGAGTCCTAGTGGGGGGGGGGCTAGGTGTACACAACCCACAATCAGGAGTCCTAGTGGGGGGGGGGGGGGCTAGGTGTACAGAACCCACAATCAGGAGTCCTAGTGGGGGGGGGGGGGGGCTAGGTGTACAGAACCCACAATCAGGAGTCCTAGTGGGGGGGGGGGGCATCTGAGAGCCCATTGAAGTGACCTGCACCCCACCCACCCCCACCTCGCCCCCCCCCTTGAGACCCATGGTCATTTCACAACCATTGAACAATACAAGACACATCAGCGTAGATTTGAAGTTTTCGTGACTGCAGGGATCCATACTCATTGATTCTTTCGGTAAAGTCACGTCGGTATAAAAATAAATTAAATCACGACATTTCGATCGCAAATTGCTTGTGTTGCGATCGAAACGTCGTGATTTTTTTTATACCTACGTGACTTTACCGAAAGAACCAAAGAGTACACATCAGCGTGTTACAATTGATTGTGCTATTCTCATAATAATTATTAGAAAACATTCGATTATTAGCGACAGCCAATGGGTAAGCATTGCCATGTATTTATATTTTTGGGGCCGTGCCACGTGCCTGACTTGAACTAAAGCGATTTTAATTTTACCAAAGTCAGAGTTGCCACTGAGCTATGTAGCTCTTTTTCAGAAGCGACCAGGCCATTACAAGCGATAGCTCACACGAAGTGGCTCATCATCATCATCATCATCACGTGGACGCTTTTTTCGCAGCAGCCAACATGCTCTAAACGCGTGGCGTTGCTTCTAAACGTGGAGGGGGGAAAATCGGAGGATCCGGAGGGAGAAAAAATCCACGCAACTTTGACGATGAATGATGACACGCGGTCTTTAACGTCTTGCCACAAGTCGGCGCGCGCTTGTGTAAGTGTGCCGCGTGGTTTACCCTCACGCAGGGGAGAGATTTCGGCCGAGTCTCGAGACGCGTTTTCACGAGGGTCCTGCCACGCTTTGATATTTGGCCGCGAATTCCGTCGTTCTGACCTCGTGCGGGAAGCGGAGCTGGTAGATTCATGCCGCAGAACACCCAGCGGTGACGAAACTCACAGCGCCGCAAAGATCGATTCAGCATGTACGAATATGTGTGTTGAACTTCTATCGCACCGTACGTAGCCAACCGTGCTAATCGCAGGTGCGGCAGAAGGACAACGAACTAAAACACAAAAAACAGTTCTAAAGAGATGAGTGTTTAATCTAAAAGTGGAGTACAACTCCAACGATGACACCCCGCATTTATCACGTTGGAGCACATGAAACCGCCGCGGTTGCCACCTCTGATGTAACAAAAACCGGGACGTGTCCCGAGGAATATTTCACGATACGGGGATGAGTGGAAGACTCCCAAGAGAATTGGACAAAAAA